CCCAGTGGTTGGAGCCAGGTAGCAATGAGGCCCATGGGCTCCCAGCACAGCACCTGGCACGTACGGGAGACAGTTAGTCTCCTTTGCAGTGGGGACCAAAGATTCAGAAGGGGAGAAACGAGGAGCAAAGCTGCTGAGATATGAGGTTGGCAACTTGAGGAAACCATGTCTCTGATTCCACCAGGGGCTGGAAACGCCTGAGAGATATAAAGACCACGAGAGCCGCTAACCCACCCAACTCAGGCCTTGAACACCATCCGATAGGAGGGAGCACACTGGGACACAATCTCACATGCTCCCAGCTCTCCATGTGGCTTCTCCATTCACGTAGCAGCAAATTCCTTTTTTTGCAACCTCAAATCCCAAACCCTAAGTCTTCAGAAGGGACTGAGGAAGGGAAGACTGGGCAGCAATTCGTCCCAGCCTCATCCCCCAAGACTGCATCTGCCCTCCCTGCCTCCTCCCTAGCCATCCCAGTGCTTCTTGGTTCAATTCCACAAATACCAGGTGAGTACCCCTAGATGCCCGCCTGGGAGCTGCTGATGGGGCCACAGAGGTGATCGGGGCAGTAACTGTGTGCACCTCCCAGCAGGGAAGGGCTGTAAAAGCTTCACAAGAGAGGTGGTGTCTCAGCCGACCTGGCAGCACAGCACAGGCTCCAGCGCTAGAAAGACCCAAGTTTAAATCTCTGGCCCCACTGGCTGGTCTTGGGCAAATTAAGTCACCTGTCTGAGCCTCAGTTTCCTCAACTGTAAAATGATGATCACTGGATGTCCCTCATAGGGCCGTGGTTGGACTGAAACGAGACAATCCATGTAAAAGGCTCAGAGCAAGTCTAAGCAGCTGTGATAGTGAGGTGGGGGTGGGGGAGAAGGGGAAGAGGGAGATGAGCAGGACAACAATGTTGGTCATTTCAACTCTCCCCCACTCTTATCTTCAGATTCTCCTGCCAGCTGGAGTCTGAACCCCTCAATTCAGCCTTTTGTTTAGACACCCTTTGACCTGTTCTGGGTACCACAGGAAGTACAGAACAAGTTTGACATTGAGTAGTCCCCGCTAACATGCATACAGACTTTACAATTTACAAAGCGCTCTGCCTAACACCATCTCACGGAAGCCTCACAACAGCTGTGTGAGGTCGGGAGGAGGAAATTCTCAGTATCTTCACTTTACAGATGAGCACACTGGAGCTCAGAGAGGTTGAGCGACATCCCTCAGGTCACACAGCTAGAAAATGGTAACGCTGAGACAACACCCAGATCTCTGCCTTGTAGCCCCTTTGTTCTGTGCCTCCCGAGAGAGAAGACAGAGGAGTCTATGGTTTGTGGGGAGCAAAACCGTGTAAAACCATAGTCCTGGCAGAGGGATGTGTGCCCCACCTGTCAGCTGAGATCAAGAATCCCCGCCCGTCATTCTCAGGATGAAACTAGGCACTCTCAGTTGAACTGTGCCACCAGTGGTCTGTGGCCCTGGCCCTGCCAGAGGCTCTGCTCAGCCTGGGCTTGGGGACAATGAGGCATCTGCGGGGCAGAGCTTCAGGTTTCGCCCTGATACCTCCCAGAGGGAGGTGTTGCACAGAAGAGCAAGGCTGTAGGGGGCGTGCTGGTGAATGAGGAGTGTGCATCCTGCCAGCACCACAGAGACCTGGCTTCATCTGGCCTTCCACACCTGGCAGAACTAAGCCAACCCCAGAAAGGAGGCTGCAAAGCAGATTCAGTCGTTGTCCAGTAAACAGTCACTGGCCTGAGTCTTTGTGATGTTCTTGGCTCCCCACCCCTCTAAAAGCTGGTGAGAAAAGTCGTGTGGGCCCCAGTCACCGGGGACTGAGCCCACAGTGAGCCAGGCCCAATGCTGTGGGCCTCACCTGAGCTATCCCACGCCATCTCCTTAACAACCCTTCAGGTAGTTAGTCCTACTTAGAGATGAGAAAACAGGCTCAGTGGGGTTATGACACTTCTTCCAACATCTCACAGCTAACAGCAGATGTGTATCTATCCAACGCTCATGTTCTGATATTCTCTGGGCTGCTGGGAGAGGAAGACTGTGGTGGTTAAGTTTATGTGTTAACGTGACTGGGCCCCGGGTGTCCAGACGTTCGGCTGAACATTATTCTGGGTGTGTCTGTGAGGTGTTTCTGGATGAGGTCAACATTTCAATCAGTTGACCGAGTAAAGCAGATTGCCCTCCCCAGTGTGGGTGGGCCCCATCTAATCCATTGAAGGCCTCAATCGAACAAAAAGTATACTGAGTAAGGCGGGGGGACTCCTCCTGCCTGACTGTGGAGCTGGAACATGGGTCTTTTTCAGCAATCAGTCTCAGACTGAACCATCAGTTTCTCTTGGGTCTCAAGCCTGATGGCTTTCAGACTGGAACTGACACCACTGGCTCTGCTGGTTCCAGGCTCAGGCTGAAACCTTAGGTCTCCTGGGTGTCCAGTTTGCTGACTGCATACCTTGGGACCTCTCAGCCTCCATAATCAAGCAAGCCAATTCCTTATAATCAATCAATCAATCAATCAATCAATCAATATCCCTCCCCTCCTCCCCCATTGGTTCTATTTTGCTGGAGAATCCTGACTAATACAAAGACCAAACCTTGGGCTTCCAGGCACAAGTTGGCTGCATATTCAGACGTGGAATGCCAAGCTGCCAGAAGCCAGATATCTAAATATCTAGAACAAACCATCTACTCTGGTCCAAGAGTCCCTTCAGTTCCCAAGGCCCTAACAGGAAGCCTGGTAGGGTGGGGACCTGCCTGGCGAAATAATGCATAGCCAAGTAGCAGAAACTTTAGCTTTCTTTTTTCTTTCTTCTTCTTTATTTTTAAATAAACACAGCTCCCAAGTACTCTCTCTTGCACCCCAATGTAAATAGCAATACTTACAGAGTCCACTAGATGGGGCCAGTGACGCAGGAGAAAGGGCAAAAAAGAATGCAACTTCAGGAGGGAAGGTAGGGGAGGCCGGAGTGCATGGCGCTGTGTTAACTAGGAACTCCAAGTTAGATAAATGCTCCCACCCCTACCTTGCATGACTTCTAATCAATAGTGTAAAAAGCAATCCTTGGGTGTCCAAGTGCTTTGGTCAGTTGTCACTGTAGCATCTCTGGATTTCAAAGTCCTCAAACTGAGTTATTGCCTCATAAGCCACCAAGCAAAATGGGCGGCCACAAACCGAGGCTAAGTCCCTGCCCTAAAGCCTCAGAGCTCCAGGCAGGGCAGCTCCCCGTTATGTCTGTGACCCGTTCACTGGCGAGTGAAAGCATCTGACGGTACGTTTCACCAGGGAATCTAAAAATCGATGAACAAGCACTCTGGCAAGGTGGTCATGTGATGAGGGAAAGAAACAGGACAGGGGAGCAAGGAAGAAGGCAGAGATGGGAGAAGGAAGTGGCAAAGGTGCTTTTCTCTTCAGCAAGAGGCTCTCTTTGGCCACACGTTCTCAACTCTCAGCCGGCGTTCCTGGCCCTACTGTGTTGGATCCTACAGCAAATCTTCCTGCACCTGCTCCCAGGGGGTCTCTGAGCCCTGTGTGGTCAGAGACCTAAACACAGAGATGGGAAGCCAGAGTTTTCTCCTTGCTTCCCCCAATGGCCTCAGTTCACATCCCAGAATACCCTCTCCTCCATCAGTAGCAAAAATCCTGCCCGGCATGTCCAAGATGGCTATCTCTCACCTGCCACCCTTCCTAAGACAACAGAGCAACACCCCAGAATGCTGGCTGTTGGGGGCCTGGACCTGACCAACAACACCCTCACTCATCCCCTCCACCTACCACCTGTCCCCACCATCCCTTCCCAAACCTGTACTGCCTGGCAGCTAAGCTCTGCTTCTGTTGCCATGGCAACAATGTGGCTTCCCCCAAGTGGGAAGCCGGTTGCCAAGGCCCTGTTGCCAAAGGCTATAACAGCCACCCTGGTGTGTGAAGGGGGGGGGGGGGGAGGGGGAGAGCTTGGCAGAGAGGTGGAGGGCGGCCAAGGAGGCTGAGAGGCAAGGAAGCAGGGGGTTCTCAAGAAATGGTAGCATCCAGGCACCCCTCCCTAGCCAGGCTGGGGAGTGCTCGGCCCTGTAGAAGGGGAACATGTATGTCACAGCATCTCAGTGACTGCTCCTTGGGGGCATTAGAGGGAAGAAAGGGGACTCCCTCCACCCCCCATAAAAAACACCTGGACAAGCCCTCTACAAGCAGGACTAAGTACTGTAACCCTCACCCCCAAATGGAGTAACAGCTTTGATTCTCCCCCAACTTCAGAAAAACAGCCCCCAGGAATCCCTCTGTCTCACCTGCTCAGGTGTCTCAGACACACACATACAAGCTAGACCCAGACAGAGCCAGTCCCAGGCCAGGAACAACGTTAATTACAAGGATTGCAAACCTCCACACTTGCCTATCCCTCTGGCCTGTCGCAGAGCACATACTTAATATTCCGTCAAAGCTTCTCTTTGGAGCAGAGCTTCCATCAATCGACAAGAGAGAGGAACACCATTAGGGCTTGTTCCCTTCCATAGTCAACAGAGGAGGGCTGGATGGGGCCCTGGGTCCTCAAGGAATGTAACGGAAGAAGTTCCCTTCACCCCACAGTGAGCACCGAGTCCCGCCTTGGTGTGCTGAGCTGGCATCTGTATATTTATAGCCCACAGGTCACATACGCAGCCACTGCCCAGCCCAGGCCCAGAGAGAAGAGCCTGTTCCTTCCCTAAGGCCATCCTGCTAGAGGGGCTGAAAGAGGAGGTGAGGGTGTCCAGCAGGGAGGGGGAGCAGATGGTTGGAGAGGAGGCAGAGACAGCAGCAGGTGGGGTGGGAGAGGAGCCTAGTCTGAGGGGGGCCCAGGGCTGGAATGAGATGCTGAGGGTACCAACAACATAGCCAGGTCCAAATTCCCCCTGTCCTGCTCCCCCAGTAGTGTCTCAAGCAGAGCCTAGCCCATGCCACCCATGCCTGCCTCCCCACTCCCTGAAAGCCCCCTCTTCCCAAACCCAGAAAGAAAAGCAGGTGTACCTACCGCAGGTGCCAGCCCCTCAGGTGGGGTGGGGGAGATGCTTTCCCCGCCGCCCTGGTTGCGGGTGCTGAGCTGGGGCGACATGGTGGGTGACTCGTCGATGTACGGCATGGTCTCCGAGCCCTCCGGGGGCCCCTTCTGCTCCTCATTCCCCTCTCCGTCGTAGTCGTCTGCCCCGTAGCTGAAATCTGAGACAAGGAACAAGAAAGGCCACTGAGAGTCCTCCACCAGGGCTGCCAGGGACTGGTAGCGCAGTGGGCGCCGGCGGCGGCCCCCGGCAGCCATGACCCTGGCCGCAGCATCCACAGCCCGGCCCAAACAGGAACTGCGTGGGGCCCGCGCTTCGTGTGAGGCTGGGGAGCACCAGCAGGAACGGGCGCTGCATGCAGTTCAGGGGCTGCTGGGAGCCGGGGAGGAACGGCTCCGCTGTTGCCACCCGCTTAATAGCATGCCAGTTGTGTATTTCAAGCTGCTGTTTCCTTTGCCTCCTGCCTAATTCCAAGTCTAAAAATTAACAGTGGGAGCAGGAGGCAGGACGCTTCCAACTCTCCTCTCTGAGTCACCATTTTGCTTTTTATAGGGAATAAAGAGGTGGGGCGGGCCAAGCGATGTCACTTCCTGAGCTCCTCCTCCTAGGGTACCATTTGTACACGGAGCCCAATCCCTGGGGGGGCAGGGGCAGAGCAGGTTTTGGGGGGGTGGGGGCTGAGGAACTGCACCCAAGGGAGCTCTCACCCCTCTGAACAAGGCCCCATGCAGGATGGAGCCCAAGGCTGGCAGAGCGTGGGCGAGAAGGCGTCACAGAGACCTGGCAGGGACACGATTGAACACAGACTCCTCAAAAGCTGACATTTACTTCTATAATTTCAATGGAGACCTCCTTCAGAGCAGGAGGAAAGAAAAGGCTGTAAGGAAGTCCAGCTGCTGTTAACCCCCTCGGCTGCTAGCACCACTCAAGCTCCAGAGCCCACGCATAGACACCTCTTTCCTAGGACAGCAGGCTGGGCTCCTGGGGGACACAGGGCCACACCTCGGAAAGGCCCCAGGTCAAATCCCACCAGCGGGGGTCTCTCCTGCAGCATGTGAAGGAACCCTTCCACAGCCTTCCCCCCAGCCTCTGGCTGGGCCCATCATCTGCTCAGATATTACTTCTTCCAGGATGTCCTCCCTGGTGGCCCAGCTCAGAACTCCTACAGTGCATGGCCTTCTAGTGTCCCTTTCATCCTGCTTATCTGTCCCTGAGCCCCTGGGGCAGGAACTGGGGGTCTCAGTCATCACTGTGTGCCCAGCACCCATGGGCCAACATGCAGCAGGACCTCGGGAAATGTGTATGAAGGAATGAATGAGCAGAGAAATGCGCTGTCCCTCTCAGGTCTGAGGCTTGAGCCAAGTTCTCCACTGGGACCTGGCTCCTCCTCTGTCACAGCACACCAGCCCCCAGGCAGCCGGCAGCCTGAGAATGGTGTCAACAGGTCACCAGGGCGCCTGGCCACAGCCACACTCGTCCAATCTGGCCCTTTGGCAGCCAAGAGCTTCCCCCAGCCTTGCTGCACCTGCTCCCGCCGACGTCCTCTTCAGTCCCTGCATTGACAGTCCATTAAGCTGTCAGGGAACGTGGGCTATTATTTTTGTCCCAGGCTAGGCCCACATGTAAAGAACCATTGGACCTAGTGATCCAGCCCCTGAGATGTGTATATGCCAAGTACCCAGCAAATAGGGCCCACAGGCCTATGTCTGAGGTTGGTAGGGGGTGAGCCAACTCTGCTATTGCCAGGGGTCGGGAAAGAGAAAGAGCCACAGCATCCATTCTGCCTGAGTCTGGCACTGTGAGGAGGCCTACCTGTTTCCTGAGACCTAGTTCACTTTGGAGAAACACCAGGAGGAAATGAAACATCATGTTAACCTGCCATCTCTCTTCCAGGAGGCTCCATGCCGCCCTGTTACTGCTTGGAGTCAAGGCCTGGAGTGTGGGCTATGGTGAACTCTGGCTTGGCCAACACTTCAGATTCCAGCAGGCCACACTGCCTCTCCTATCCACTGACCAATTCCCGGGGGTCACAGGACCAGATCCCTCCCTCAAGACTTTTCCCAAGGGCAGGGGTGGAAGGGACAACAGGAAAGGTGGTGTGGCTCACCTCTATCGCACACCTGGCGCTTCCTGGGTCACAGCAGGGCGGGAAGGTCTCTATCAGCCTCCCCCCAGGATGCACAATTCATTCTTAGAGTGCTGGCCGTGGTCCTGCATTTCCTGCTTCTCTCACCCTGGCCACACCTGTGAGGCTGTTCTTACTATCCCCGATGTACAGACAAGGCCACTGAGCCTCAGAGAGACGTGCACAGAAAGGATCTGAACCCAAGTCTGTCTGTCTCCAAATGCCATCTTTTCCTTTCTGAATCTCACTAACCTTCCAGAGAAATCTCCTCCGGCCCTCCTTGTCAGCAGACTTACCAGAGAGGAAAGGGAGGGGGTGCCTGAGAATGAGGTGCAGGGAGAAAGGTGCATAGGAGCGGGGAGGCTCAGGGTTGGAGGAAAGTGCCCACAGAGCTCTCTGCAAATGTTCCTAGATACTTTTGTTTTCATTCCATCCCCCGTAAGACCCTGAGAGACCAGGCAGTCAGTCAGAGACCCAGGAGGCCCCTACCAGGAAAAGGGATACAGAAAAGACAGAGAGAACAACCCTTAGAGAAGGAAGGAACCCTGGGACCAAGAGAGGATGGAAATCTGCCAAGCACGGGCTTTGGGTGATGAAAGACCACAGATAGGAGAGGACCATGGCTTGGTCACCAGGTCTCGAAAGAGAGAAGGCTGAGGAGGCTGCTGACAGCCAATATCCATTTCCCTCATGGGAACATACCGTATCCCCCATGTATAAGACGCACCCTTTTTCAAAAACTTTGGGATCTAAAAACTGGGTGCATCTGACACAGTGGTTGTAGATTTTTTTACTTGTATTGCCTGCTTTTTTCGTGCTTGTTTTTGCGCTCATTATTGTAGATATTTTTTACTTGCATTTCTCACTTTTTTCGCACTTGTTTTTGCGCTCATTGTAGATTTTTTTACTTGCATTTCCCACTTTTTCGCACTTGTTGTCTTTGCGCTCATTGTTTCGCACTTGTTACCGGGATATTACTGTAGGTTACGTTTTGCCACATTCTGCCTGGAAATGGCTCAGAAAAGAGTTTCGTACAGTGCTGAATTCAAGTTAAAAGTGGTCCAGTTTGGGGACGGCCGAGTGGCGCGATGGTTAAGAACTCGCTTGGGATGCCAGAGGGCCCCGGTTCGGATCCCGCATATAAGGGCCAGTGAACACTGCCCTCCACAGCTAAGATGCTGAACAACAGCTCAACCTGGAGCTGGGCTGCCGTGAGTCACTGGCGACG